GGATATCGTTATATAATAATATAGAAAAAGTTTTTTTATTTTTTTGAGATTTTAGGCACTTTTCCATTCTGAGAGTACTAAAGGGCCAAAATAGATGTGGAAAAAATATTGCAATTATTTAGTGTTGGCAAACATCAGAAATTGAAATCTTTATTTTCATGTGTCTTTATTATATTTTTGTAATAGAAATTATGCAAACTACATCATTCTTATAAAATTTTTAGTTTTACTTTCATGCATGATCTATATATCAACTTTTATATAAATTAAATTCATCAAAGTTATATGGATACTACTTGCAATGGATTCTTCCTGTTTCTATTAAAAAAAGTAATTAATAAATATATATTAATTTAATTTTGTATTTTTTAACATGAATAAAACAATTGATAGTTTGATTAAATAAAGTAATGATGTTTGATTTTACAGAAATGTTTGAAATAAATATAAGAGAAATAAATTGAAAAATAATCAGAACAAGATCCAGAAAATGAACCAAATGGTGTATATGAACATGGTGGAGTTAAGATTCTTATCAAAATAAAAAGATGTGTAAACATGCTATACCCATTAATGTGAAGCCATTGCTATGATAGAATAGATTGGGAAATGAATGGGTTATTGAATATAAGAATTCTTATTCAATAATCCATTCATTTTCAATTCTTATATTCAATAACCAAAAATAATTTACTTTCAGAATTGCCATTTGTTTTATAATGAAATAAAATATTCCAAAAATTAAAAATAATAAATTATATTTTGAAATTTGATTGTAAATTTTTATAAAAGACAGAAAATTTTCTAATCAAACTTTCAAACTATTTTCCTCCCCCTAATTTGTTATCCTTAAAGTTTGAATGTTTATAATTCATTCTTCTTATTATTGTTAGATTTTATTAATTTTTATCTGAAAAAATTATTAGAAATTATGCCAGTTTTTTAAACTTAATAGATAAGTATTAAAAAACTAAGAGTTAGGGAGGTATTTTAGATAATTAGAACTGGAAAAACTGCTTGCACTTTCAATAGCTTCTTTTTTACTTATAAAATTCAATAAAGTAGAATTTATATTTTTGATGAACGAAATACAAAGAAAAATAGTTACTATTAAAAATATTGAATAAATCCTCATTGCACATGAATAAGATGCCTAAAAATGTAGTGTACTTTTTCAGGAAATATATAGATATATATATATATATATATTGTTAATTTGGAAAAAAATTGTTACAAAGAAACAAGGTGTGTATAGCGAACAAACAAAGAAACATCCTCATTTATTTTATATATATATATATAAATGAGGATGTTTCTTTGTTTGTTTGTTTGCTATACACACATTGGCCATTCAACCAATTGTTATGAAACTCAGCAGTTATGTTTACATACTTCTAACTTAGATAATGACATACATTCCACCCAAAAATATCTATTGAATTTCTGTAAATCAATTAACTTTTAATGGTTTACATGTAGTGCTATCTATTGGTAAAAACTTAATAAAATAATAAACTAAATATAATTCTTATAAAAAAAAAAATATAATTTAAAAAATATATATATTATATTCACTGAAGTACTGTAACACAAATTGCCTGTGCGGAATTGAAAGTGTTACCCTGTGAAAAGTCTATAGTAAGTATATAAGTATTTAATTTTCCACATCTAACGACTTGGATTTTTTCATTTCTGAATGGAACTTTTTTAATTCTAGTAAGTGCCCTCCAGTAGCCAAGTGCATAAAACCACCGAACTCTAGTAATTAGTCATGGATTACAGCATGGCCAACCTGTTGGCCATGCTGTAATCCATGGAGTTTCTGGGTTTTCTTCACATTTTCCTAAATAGGATCCAGCTTCCCATAAAAGTCTTCCTAGGATGCATCCCCTCAGTAGATACGTCCCAGGAAGACTTTTATGCTCACATGTCTTATTGCCGTAACCAAATAAACCAATTAATTCTGATGAGCAATTATTTATTGTGACATTGTCAAAATGTTCTCTATTCTTTTAGTGGTGGTCTTGCCACTGTACTTCATACTTTTCCTGTTAGAAATAGAGTCATGCCGATCATTTATCTTACTTCGTTTCGGGAGAAATTTTGAATCAAAGTAATGTGACTTCTGTTCCAAACCAGAAGTTTGTATATAGTTAATCTGGGCCTCCTGTCCCTAAGCCTTCCACATCTGATCTCAACTTTCATCTAACTCCTTTCTTGAGATTAACAGAGAGACAGAAATGTCTCTGTCTGTCTGTTCGTCCTTAGTTGTAGACTTATAAATTTCAACAACAGTTTTTTTCAAATTGCAGCCCAATAACTTTTCTATAAATGCAATATTTATGAGAACATACAATATGTTGCTAAAATTTAAATACAGGGTACTTTATTATCACATAAAACAAATTATTCTAGCATTTTTTTATTTAAACAAATTTTATATGAAGTTAAGATTAGCAACTTTGATCACATGCATGACCATCACAACCTATCTAATACAGAACACTTTTCAAATATTAATAATAGACCAGTATTAATTAGCAGTCATTGACCATCCTCTCTTCCAGGAGGTCGACGACTACTTTCGGTCCAATTACTTCAACCTCCTACCACAACAGTCCCTTCTTTCTATCAGACCAGAGGTATGGTGGCATTGAAATAGGAAAATTACATAATATGAGGTTACTGGCAAACACAATATATGTTTTAAGTGATTTTCGAGGTTGCTGAGTTTAAACATTTGGTCCATTTTTTGTGAAATTTGAAAGATTATCATTTGATATTTGGCTGTGAATGGTACAGTTTCTTAGAGTTAACATTAAGTAAAAAGAAATATATTTTAAAGAATTTAAGATATTGTATTTTCAATTGGTGTCTACTTGACCCATGAAATTGTACCATTTCATACCATCCGAGTATCATGATAAATATGACCATGGTAGGCTAAAATAAACAAACTCTTTACATGGTTTTCATTTTAATGTTTGTTATATTATAGTATTTAAGCACTTGATGTAATAAACTCTTATGTAAGATAACATTTGTAAATATAAACCAAATACTATACAGTAGAGCGTCGTTTATCCGAATCAATTGGGGACTAGGGTGGTTCGGATAACTTATTTTTCGGATAACGAATCATGTACGAAAAAATATATTAATTTATCCCACGTTGAAAATTTTTCTCCGTTGCGTGTCGCTTCGCGTTGAATTTTCGTCGATGTTAAGCCTAACGAAGACTATTGTATTGTTAAAAATTATTTTTTTATTTTATACAAACAAAATAAATATATTGAAAAATATAAAAACAATAAAAAATTATACTTCAGATGTTAATTTAGTATCAAAAACGTAAAATATTTGAGTAACCCAAGGAATAGCCGCCACAGCACTAGCGAAAATTTAAATTTGCCGACTGGAATGCTTTCGGATAACAGACGTTTCGGATAACCAGCTTTCGGATAAACGACGCTCTACTGTAATATAATAGAATAGAAGGGTTAGAAGTACAAAATAATCTAATAATCTTAATCTTTGCTGTTGTGATTTTTTGCCCAAACAATGTCAGGCTCATCTGATAGTTGCTTATATAATTTAAATTGTTACTTTAATAATTGATTTAAATTTTGTGTGTTATTGAAAATTATTATTTATTATTGTATAATTACTAAAAATATTTTGCATTGCTGTTATAACTTTGAGTTTTAGCTTATGAGATATGCAATAGTGGATGCAAAAATCTTTAGAGGAGTGCAGAAAGGAAACAATATGCCATATGTCTTATAAAATTTTTTTAGTACCTGAGCTTTACTTGGGAAAACTCTCAGAAGGGGTGTAGCTATACTCTGCACACCCTGCATACTCCTGCAGGAATGTAGCCAGAAATTTGAGTGTGGGTTATCCACATAACTAATGGCTTGCATAGTATTAGCATAGATAGGTAGGTTACTGTAAAATTGCAATAGCCCACAATCACTAGTAACACATTATTGTTTAAGAAGAGAAGCTGCCTTACTGATATGTTCGCTCCTTGCTTGTCATATGCAAGCTACATGCAAACCAATGATATTCATGAAATACTCATTAAAACAAAAAGAAAAGGCTGAACAAGAACAAGTATTAAAGTTTATTCTTGACCTTGTGGGTGTGGGTGTTCATGTAATAGACTACATGAACACCCACAACCCCCTATAACACTGTTGATAATTCCATTTTATAAGAATTCCATGTTGTACGAGTCACTCAGATTTTACAAATACATGTGCTGGGCTGTGAACATCTCACATACTTTTAAAATCTAAGTGAGTCATACAACATGGAATTCTTATAAAATGGAATTACCAACAGTGTTATAGGAGGGTTGGCTGTATTTAACTCTGATGTGCTTGTCTTTTTATTTCATCCAATGGTCAACTGCTTGAGACATTTTTTTTTAAATATTGTTTACTTTTAAACTCAAGTTGGGAGTAGTGGAGAGTGAAAGAACCATATTATGGGAAACATTTCCATGTGGCTATCTTCCTGTATATGTATATACATTGATGTTTAATTGACATTTATATTAAGAAAGTATAGTATTGCTTTTAAACCATGTTAAAATATAAAAAAAAAAAACTTTTCTTTCTTTTAATGTGGTTTATAAATTTTCTTCTATGGTAAATTGTTTCAAGAAATATTATTTAAAAAATTGAAGTTTTCAAAAATTGATAATAAATTTATATTGTATACACAGTATTATTGAAAATAAATGAGAATTTTAAATGCATGTTGCATAAGTAAATAACTGTGTTTTATAAATTTGCCATTAAAATAAATTGAGTTGAATGTAATGTATTATGCATGAAACAAGTATGTTTACTGTGCTTTCATCAAACTGTGTGAAAACTTTTTGTTATTAAAAATACATATATCAGTAGTGGTATAGAAAATTTAAAGAATGTAATTTAAGATTTATTTATTTCTTTAATTTTTAACAACAAATTTTAAATTAAATTTTTCAGTGTGGCTGTTGTTATATTCAATATTGATAAGAAAAGTTTAGTCTTTGTCAAGCAGTTCCGACCAGGTAATTTATTAATTTGTAATTATATAAAAGGATAATTACATAATTCTATCCCTTATATTTTGTTGTTTAGAAAGACTGTCTGAATATAAATATTAATTTTTAGTATTAGGTGAATGAAATTTTACTTTGCACATATCCATTTGGAAATACATAAAAAAAGTACATATCAGATAGCAACTGTAAAAAGACATTTGCTATAAAAATGCAGTACATCTCAGAACAGCCAAGGGAATTTTGCCAGGTTGGTTACTATAGCAACCGATAACCCAGCACAATGTTCAGCTGACTTTTATCAAGGATCCAAATGATCAATCTCCCTGTGGAGGGTTTTTCTGTCTGTGCTACTGATGTATGCAGTGGTATGTGGTGTAATTCTGGAATGCTTTTATTTGTGATTAGAGTTTTGTACACATGACATACAATATCTTGTATTCAATTAATAATTTGAACAGACAGTTTGTTTTCAAAATAACTTACATCATTCCTTTCAGATAAAAGTTAATACATTTTTTTTAATAGAAAATTGTATTCATTTCTAGTTTTCCAACATACCAAAAAATATTATAAATTTTGTTTAAAAGCTTTCAAAATAAATTTTAAACTGAGTTATTTGAGGTTATAAATGTACATTTAATAGATTTGAAATTAAACAAATATTTAAATCAAAACAGGTTTATTTTTACATTAATATTTATCTAATTATCTTTAGATTTAATAAATTAATAGATAATAAGATTATAAAATTTTTTTTCTTAAAAAATTAATTATACTGATTTTATAATTGAAATAATTTAAATGTGACAAATAATTTTCGAAATTCTTAAAATAAATAAATAAAAAATTTTAGAATTAATGGATAATGAATTAATGTGTATTCTTAATGTTGAACAGCTGTTTATTACAGAGGAATACCTCTTGATGAATGTAAAGATCTCATTGATACAAAAAAATATCCTGGAACACTTGGCGTGACATTAGAGTTATGTGCTGGTATTGTAGATAAAGACCAGTCTTTAGAAGAAATTGTAAAAGAAGAAATGTGGGAAGAGTGTGGTTTTGATGTGCCATTATCAAACATAGAAAAAATTACATCATTTAGGTAAGAAAAATTCTGGTCAAATTGTCATAGAACGAAATGTTCTGGGTTATATAAATCAATAAAAAAAAATATATGTAATTAAAAAAAATCTATTTTTTTACAATATTCTCTTAAATTAAAAAGGAAGTAAATTAAAACTTTCTGCTGAAAATCATAGATAAAATTTTAAAAATTGATAAATGATTTTCATTTTTTTAGCTTTCTTAATAAAATTGATACAATATAATAATTTGTTTTTATCAAAACTATTTCTAAATTTTTAAATAAAATTTAAGTTTATCAATATTCTATTAAATATTAATGTATATAAGATATACAAATGCATGAATTAATATTTTTATTTGCAGATCTGGAGTAGGGATTACTGGTTCACTGCAAACATTGTTTTATGCTGAAGTGACAAATGCTATGAAAACTCACCAGGGAGGTGGAAACAGTCAGGAGGGAGAGTATATCGAAGTAATTGAATTGCCTTTATCAGAGGCACATCAGTTGATTTATGATGAAATGGTTCCAAGACCAGTATCATTGCTATTTGCACTTATGTGGTTTTTTGATAAAAAAATTAATTTTAAGCATCTTCCAAAACTATAATAATTAATATATTAGTATTTTTTTTATGTAATATATTTGTAAATATTAATGTAAAATTAAAAATTATATAAATATAATTAAATCAAATGTTTACTAATTACTAAGTCCTGTATTTCACAATAAATTTTTTATTTAAAGATGATTTCAATTGTGATTGCAACAACAAAATCTTTATATGAACTATATACCAATGGTGATGTGGAAAACTGAACCAACAATAATATGATTACCAGTAATACTGTAAGCACTTGGCATATTTAATTACAAAACTAAGTAATATATTTTTGTACAAGTTTGTACATATTCAATCCTATAATAATTATTAAAGGCACTGGTGCCCACATCTGCCAAATGCTTTTGTTCCATAATATACAAATTTTTTCTTAAATAAATAAATACCACAGGATACTTTACAAAAATTCTTTTCTGTGAATTCAACTAACTTTGATCTACAGATGTGTAGCTTTTTTACCCTGCATATGTTTTAACAATATAATGATTTTAGAAAAAAGTTTTGTTCATTTAATTAAAAAGTTGTAGAAATAAAAACTCTCAAAATTGTTCTGGTTAAAAAGGAAAAGTGTGAAAAACCACACCAGGAAGATGGATGACTTCTTAGGATTAGAGAACTATAAATCCTCAAACTTGTGGATCACAGAGACACACAACAGTAGGTACATTGGTTGGAACTGTACATTTTCATTTATGATTTTTGAGCTACTAAGTTAGCAGAATTCCATAAATTTTTTCCTGCTACCTGAAAATGGCAAAATACTATCTTTAATATTATAATTATAATGAATGTAATTTTATAAATTTATAAATACAGAAATCAAATTAGAAAACTCACCATTTAGAGCTCTACATTTAATTGATGCAGCTGACTGTATTACAAATTTTTATATTCAAACGAGACATTTGAAGAGCAACAATGATTTGAAACTTTGCAGGATAAGATAGACAATTGGGGATTCAAAAGGACAGTTGTCAACATTAATACTCAATAAAAATCCATTAACCTGCAACATAACAATCCAGTGCAACACACTTCTTCATCTGATTTTCTTACTCTACCATTCCACCTTTGAATGTGTGCTACACGGAGAGGAACTGGCTGTTGATTGACAGTATGGGGTGCATGGGGGCATCTTGCTGGTGAGGTGGGTGAGGGAGCAGGTACAGATTGACTGCGTCGACCAGAATCTAAAGTAACACATTAAATATACATCTGTTCAATTTTATTGTTATATAAATTTAATTTGTTTTACTTACTTTGACCTTTTTTTCTGGATCCTTTTCTCCCACTTATTTCCCCATCTCTATTATCTTCTATGCCAGATTCTTGACTAGAAGATGAAAGAGGTGTACCTTCACTGTCTCTCATCATACTTTCATAACCACTGCTAGTTCCAGAACATTGTTGAACTTTAGTACATTTTACTAGCAACTGTTCTGTATCTAACATGTCAGAACTTGTATCACTACTGGAATGAGGTACTACTTGAGCTCTAGTAACCTTTAAATATGGGGATGGAAGACTGCTCGGTGAAGATATTTTGCTGCTAAGGATTTGATCATCAGATGTATCCAAAATTGCAGTTTCTCGTTCTCTAAGAGCATTGCTTTGTGAAGAAGCACTCCTTGCCATCTCTCTTCCTGCTCGGTAGGTTCTTTCACATCGTCCTTCTTTAATATGTTTGTGCTTGGTTGAAGCTGATCTGTCTTTTGGTTTCACAGAACAACAAGTTAATGTCCCAGAAGAACTACTTGTAGGGCTAGAGTGTGGTGCTAATTTACTATTGGTCAACCGAGCATTTTTGATAATTCCTCCAGAATCCCAACTTTGTTGTTTCGTTAATTTATTGTTACTATTGTTAAGACTAGATTTTTGAGGTAGTTTTCCAGGTGATTTTCCATTTTTTGAATTATCTGTTTTAGATCCTTTCTCAGGACTAGATCCAGATAATTTTAACCTAGATAATTTGAGAGATTTTGCCATACCCGTCTGACTAGTATCCAGTTCTTTATCACAGTATAAAGCCAAATCTTCTTTTAAAGCATCAGGAGATAATGGGTTAATATGTAGATTTATGGACATTTCTCTGTGGAGATTACCTCTCACCTCTTCACTTTCTGAATTACTGGAACCATTTCCAGGAGATCGTAAATCTGACGTTGAGGATTTCAACAAATTATTGCCAGAAGATTGTTCAGATGACAGTTGAGACATTGATGGATGTTTATTGAGGTTGGGATTAGAAGAACCGTCGGGATGTCTTAGTGAAGTGAGACGATTAGAAAACGGACTTTCTCTTCCATGGTCGTGGTTCTCATCAGTTCTATGCAATGTCCGCAAAGAAGACAATTGGGCATAATCACTTTTGTTTCCATCTTTTTGAAGATTAAATCTCGACGAATTTAAGGTTGGAGAAACTGCTTGGATAGGTTTAATATGATGTTCAAGAAATGCTGGAACTTTATGGATCTTGTTATAAAACGCTTCTAATTTTAAACCATTCATAGGTTTTATATTGAATTTATAGTCGTATTTATCGAAATCTAAATCAGCTGGTTCACTATGAATACTGTTGTTATCACTTTCGGCATATTCCTCTCCGCTGTGGCTACCATAAAGCATTTCTGAGAGAGTTAATCGCGTAGAGCGAACTGGTAAATTGGTTGGTTGGCTGGATGGTGATGATGCACCACTCTTGGTTTCGTGCGCTCTTGAATTTATTTGCGGAGGGAGATCATGAAAATGTGCTAACCTTTGTAATCTTTCTGTTAAAAGATCGCTTCTCACAGCCATATTCAATTCATCAAATGCCTTACTTTCTAATTTTTTCTCTCTACGAGCGTGAATTTCCCTTAATAATCTCCATTTATCTGACATTCGTTCGAAATCAATACTTACAGAATCAGTAAATGAAGATGGCAAGTTTAAATCTTCTTCGCTTAATATTCTTAATGGATGATGTCTGTCCTCGCAACTCTCTTGATCAACTTCGGGGAGGGGATTTTCGATTTCCTGATATCCACACGCTGCAAAAATATCTTCTTCGGTGACTTGGAGACAAGAATCCTGCGTAGGAACGGGTTCGTGTGGTTCTGATACCTCTATGGTTTCTAGAGCATGTTCACCCTCATTTTGGACATATTCTAACAAAATCTGAGCTTTTTGTAAAGCAGCTTCTATATCCTGAGGTTCATATTGATGACTTATGCAAAGATCAGATAATTCCGCGTCGTAAGCGCTTAGTTCTGTGTTCTCTTCATTGTCTGTCTCATCGACATCGGCTGAATTGCTAGCACTGTCATCATCTCCTTCAGTATAGTGAACCGTAGCCGTAACATCCGGCTCAGAACACGTTCTATGATGTCTTTGATCTTTTTGCCCATCCTGATGCCTTGGCCTCATTGTATCTACACTATCACCTGATTTACACTTGCTTACATCGCCGCTTTCAGAAACAGTTTGAGGAACTTTAGCAGATTTTGGAAAATCTATCCATACTTCTTTTTGTTGTTTTCCGATATGATGAGAATGTTCTTCCACCCATCTTCTGATCATATTCTGTTTATGATCGTCCATGTAACCATACATACCGGGACCATCGACCCATTGTTCTTTTTGCAACTGATGTAGAGTTCGTGAATCAAATTTTGGTTTAGTAAACCTCGGACCATCTATCCACAGTTCATCGCTTTGAGGTTTGGTGGAATCTTTCGTTGCAGTTTTCTGTTCAGCTGGTTGAGTGCTGCCGTCTTGTTTGGCTGTTGGATTAGGACGATGCTTGGCACTTGATTTCCTGGTATTTTGGTTGGGAGTTCCTTTTGATAATGTGTTACTTTGTTCTGCATCTTGAACATTACTTGCTTGAAATGATTGTTTGTTGACGGCGACGTTTTTGTTAGTTCCAGCTCTATTTTGATTAGTGTTACTTTGTTGTTTTGATGGAGATGAATTAGCAGCGGACTTATTTGTGGATGTGTCTTCCTGATTTTTTATCGATTGATGTTGCCGATGTGTTTCCGTTTCGATAAGTTTTGTCTTCATCATCTTGGACGTTATTGGTAAGGACACAGGTGGCCCTTCGTTATCCGTCACCTCACGATCACTTAATGGCACTCCCCCGTTTCCTAGGTATATGACCGTATCACAAGATTGTTCGCTACTCGATGTATAATCAGGATCACTACTACCAGATTTGATTCCATCTTCACTCACAGCTTGCATTCTAATATAGGGTCGACATACTTTATCGTCCAAACTATCACCAGTAGCCGCACCAGAATACTGAAAACATGCAAATATGTTTTTGTTTAATATTTATTTTATCTTTTAAAAATTATTTTTAATTACTACTGTGTTAAATTCTTGTAGATATTAGTTTTGCGCGGAACTAAATTTGTAGGCAGTTTGATTCAGGCAAACATATCGATCAAATAAACGATCTGTCTTATAAATATGCCTATAGAGAACGGACACATTGTTTTTGATTGATGGTATTGTATGTCCTAGAAACCGCTGATAGACGAGATACAAATTTTGTTTTGGCAGAGGATTCGTTCAAATGTTTCATCACAATAAAAATTCATTATTTTATCAGAATGCGAATTTAAATGTTATCATTGCAAACATACAAGAATTTATGCATATTTTAAAATATGAAATACAAGTAAAACAAATCATTCTTTTCTTCTAAGTATTTAAAGTTTTATATTCTGTAGAATATGTACATGTTGAATATAATTTTAGTTATAATTCATAATTATAATTTATAATTCATAACTCGTACTCATTTAATATTCCTTTGGGATATGAATGAATCCCATAAAAGCCTTGGATTTAATCCTACGTACGGTGTCATTTATGACTTAACCCATCAACTAAACTTCAAAACCGTGAAACGAATGAATTTCTAAAGTTTTAAATTATAAGCATTGTGTTGTAATTCTTCGCAATTTAAAGTAAAATAAAGAGCGTGTTTGTTCTAGTAAGGCTTTCTTAAAATACACAGTTCGGCGTGTGTAGTGGTATAAATTTATTGCATTTCTTAAGTTCCCACATTCAAAAAGCTTAAACTTAATATGGTCGGCAAGAAATTAACTCGAGGTCGAGCTCGTGTAGCGAACCAAAATTAAAGTGATTAACAGTTAATTTTTAGTTAAAATCAGAATTCATTAACAGTAAAGAAATTCTAATTAAAATACTAATTAAATAGACATCAAAAATGAGGTTTTTGTTTGACATTTACTGCTAATTTGAATAGAGCAGAAACACTCAAGCATTCGATAGTAGATACTCCAATTTAAAATGATCCTAGATCCTCGAAGGATAATTAATCACTACCGAATTCAGCAATTTGCTCGGATCAAATTATATCCATCCACGATAGAGTAGACATTCGATAAAATCTAGAAACACACGAAATAACAACAGATTTATGAAGTTAGGACAATAATTTATCTTGGAAATAAAAAACATGAATCACATGATAGGAAGCATTTTCGAAAACTTTCTCTTAATAAATCAAATTTCTTAAAAATCTGTTGGAACAAATTCGAAGATTTATTTTACATCTCAATTATAACAGAGCAACATTTCGTTTACTTTTACATTTATATATTGTGCATATTTCAAGTTTTGAGCCATATTTGTATATACGAGAGAATACTATAGAAGAATATGATAGAATATATTACCTTAAAATATGAGATATAAAATGCAATATAATATTACTTACTTTCAACTTCTTTCTCCTCATACGATGTATTCTGGCTGCGAATTGAATGGTGGCGAGCGTCTCTGAATATCGAGTTGGGGCTGCGGACACATGGGCAATCATGGCAGCTCTACACGTCAGACTCCCCATGGCTTCTCTCAAAAGCTGGGTCAGTTTACTGTCTCTGGGGAAATAACAACACAATACTTTCATTCACAGTTACTTATACGTGCATTGTGTAGTAAATACTCCTAATATTTATCTTGTTTGGCGGAAGCGCTCTTCGTGAAAAATATCCCGATTGTGTTGGAAACAGGAGATTTTTGCCTTATAAGTCAAATCTCCCATTTCCAAACTCCATATTTTACTATCAGTCTTACAGTCGCAGATAGTAAGAAAAAATTAAGGAATTTTTAAAATTCTCAGCTTAGGATTTATTTAGTTTTTCTTGCTTTTAATTTAAAACATTTCACCGAAAACTGTGGCTTTAAGACATTAACGTTTTTACTTTAAGGATCTACCCCGTACAAAACTCGTGTAATAAATCTTTGAATACAACGCTAACAAACGTCATAACAAACATTATGTAGCGACATAAAATATTATTTGTACGAAAGTATTATTTTTGCTTGGATAGTTTCAAGTCGTAGGTCCGTACCAAAGCATTAATACCGTTGAGTGGAGAGGTAATTAAATGTAGTTTCTATTAAAGGAAACTGTCAGGTAAAGCGGTGTATGACAAGAATGCAATATAGCCACGTGATAGTTCCAGTTTTATGACCTGCTGCTTATTCCCTTGAAGAAATTAAACACGATAATGCAGAGCGCGTCCGGGATAGAGAGGGATGAGACTACCGTACAAGAAAAGAAAAAAAATGGTGCTGTCTGAAGTGCTCTGGGATAATGTTACAAGCAGACAATGCGCGGTTAAAAAGCGAATTTAAGGGTTTTTGTCTGGAAAGATCGGTTCGGTTGTTAAATGTGCGGAGGAAATGTAAGAGAGATGACTTTTAAAACGATGCCAAATTATAATTCGGACTCTACTCAATTACAAACCAATAGAAGCTTTAGTCGGACAATTAATACTAACAGATAATTTATCCTAATTTAAAGTCAGAGTGACGATCGATTTTCGCATACCATCCTCTGGTAAGCTGGAAGAAACCTCTATCCTTTCCTACAACCGTCATCTTTGTCGTCTTTGCAATTTAATTAAAAAAGAAACATTAGGAGAAGGTACTTACTTGTAAGGCACGTGCTTATGACCATTGAACAGAGCCAAGATGACATTTCCCAATGCAGACAAAGACAGACAAGTGCCATCTCTGGGTCTGGAGTGCTTTTCGCAACTCCCCAAATCGAAGAGATGAAGTCGACTCCTACCTCCAGCAACTTAAATAAAGATATTGCATTATAATTTCATAAATTAATTTTTTTTTCTATATCCAACTTAATTAGGAAAAAATATTTTTAATAAGTGCAATTTATTAGATTTGTTTAAAATTTAATTCGAAAGCGGAAATTTTAATAATTTAATTAACGAAATATCTAGATGCTCTTTAAGATATTTTTTTTCCTTCAAATTTTCCATTGGTTTTGTAATTATTAAAACCATTCAGATATACTCTGATAAGGAAAAGTTTATTAAGACGATTTTCTCGAAATAAAATATCTACTCGTGATCATTAATGATTCTCGATAAAATTTTCGAAGCGTTTTAAAGTCTCCAACTATACAAATCTGATGCAATCTTAATCTTATTCACGTCCCTGCTCCATCTCATCTCGTCCCTCTTGGTATTATCCATTTATCTTTATCTTCTTACCTACTTAAACTTTTTACGATCTCGCTTTGCATTCATATCTTTTTCGACATAGTCTACCTAGCAATTCATCTTTTCACCCTATTTGTGAAATATCACCTACACCTGATAAGTAATGGACGAAAAATCTTGTCCTGGATAAAGAATTTATGCTAGACAATTTTTATTTCAAAGAAAAAGGGAGCCATAAAGCATCATATATTCCCAAACGATCTATGAAATATTGATCTCTAATCTTTTTAAATGAAGTCATTAATTATCTGTTGTTGTAAATCAGATAAAAGCTCGAAAAAAAAATGAAATGTCATTAAGAATATGAAAGTTTGAGAACCGTTTACAAAGTTGCAGGGGGAGCAGAATAACTATATTTAAATTTAAAAAAAAAGAATGAATAGAGACTTACCTCCTCCTTTTCCACTCTTCTCTACTCTGTATTGGTAGACGTGCAGAGTGAAGAGAAAGTGCGAATTTCGTCCTTCGTCAGTCACATCTGCAACAGATATTACCACAAACAGTGTTGACATAGCACTTGTGCTTGGCCATCTCAATATCCTATTGCTAGTCATACTAAACAATGGGTTTTCGAGAAAAGATAAACATACAGGAGTCGGTGATTTAATAAGTCATGTTTGTCATATATGTTGTTGGTTGCATTAACAGAACTCGAAATGTTTGGGGAGAATACATTGTCAGTTATAATTAAGTTGTGGAAGCGATGAAAACTGAAATTGCAATCGAATGATCCTTTATGGAAATGGTTAAAGCTGGATGCGTAACTATAAATGATTGGTTCTCGAACGCTGTAATTAATTAATATGTGTAGCAGTAATTTGAGATTGTCGAAGCTGTTTGAATTCTTTTTATTGTAAAATGTTATTGGAGATCTTAGTTAAGACTCTGATTGATTGGTTTAAATCCGTGATAAATCGTAATTTTTTTTAAATCTCATAAAAATTCATTAAATAAACGGTCAGTTGATAAATGAAGTTGCAAACAAATCCATCAAGAGGAGCAAAACACTTACCTGTACTTCTGGACGCTAGGGCAGCATCCAATAAATAAGCGGCTTTCTCGGCTGTAGGTGCTCTTAATTCGCTATGGTTCATTAGTTGGGTGCCAAAAACGGGGTCGTCCCTCAGATAGACTCCAGGCGATGTCCCGCTACCTTCGGTACCTACAAGAACACATCAATGTTAGTGTCATCCTAATGGTTCCGGTAATGATGCTAAACAACCTTGAATGTAAGTCTAAGGTCACATTTTTCATCCTACGGGGTGGAGTCTCCGAAAAGGACCATTCATCAAGACTCGGTGAAGCTTTTTAGATACACGAAAAAGTAAGACGCTATTACTCTTTCCATTTTATTAGCTAGAGAAAATTGGCATTAGTTGCCAAAACAAAAAGTTAAAACACGAGGAAGGAAGAGCGAGAGAGAGAGAGAGCACTTATAGATATTTCTAGAGCTTAACTTCACAACTCGGGGAATTTAAATTTGTTTCACGTATTTTAAGTCGGGAAGGCAGCGAATCAATCATCGACCATCGGGAATATATTTAAATGGTGCTCCCCGCCATCTTGTTTCCATATACTCGACATCGATTAATCGACCTACGACGGGATTATTATTTCTCAATTTGTTTCAATTAAAAAGTCATTTAGAGCCGCTAGACAGTAGAAGCATCTTTGACTTTTTCTCGACGATTTTTTAAAAAAGTGGACGTCATGTAGATATCCCAAAAATAAATCTCCGGTGTTGCTCCTCGGTAATCACCGTCGCCATTAAAGTGTACTTACACGTAATTAACAATGTGTGTGCAGCCAGGCGATAGATTGTCTTTCCTTGTACAAGTGGATCCCAAAAATCGGACAAAGTTAGTTTAGTGTCGACTCGGACTAACAACCGAAGAATATCCACCTTTATCGTTAGCAAAAAGAAAAAAATAAGAAAAAAAACTGTGCAGTGTTTGACGTTCGGCTTGTTAGCAGTGACTTTTGTCGGTAAAATACGGGTTTCCAATAACAATCACACGACGGGACGTGTGAGTAGAAGACTGTAAAGTCCGAGAGATTTCGCTCCGAGAAAGGATAAAGTAAAAGAGGTCTCCGCTGAATCGGGTTTTAATGGATTTTTTCGTTCACGGGGTAAATACTTTGCCAGACGTCTCACAAATACAAGATGCTGCACTTAGCAAAGTGTCTTTGGCATCAACTGGTTAGTGGCTGGATGCGGTTCGGGATCGTAATGTCTGACAAATCCTGATAAAACAGTAGAAGGAATAAAAGAAGTTATTGTCTCGTGAGTATGGCTATCCGCACGGCTAACAGTTGGCCAGAAGAAGATACCATAATTGTGTTTTCCTACTTTTATTTCTGTAATGGTGTTGCGAGAAGTTCTATATAGATGGGAAAGGAAAGGTGTGGAGTGGTAAAGATATTGGATGGTAATTGGTTGTTTTATATCAAGTCGAATTGGCTGTAAGGCTAAAACTATTCGAGAAGATTTGGCTATCGGAACTATATAATAAATAATTGATTTTAACAGGAATATTGTGCGAATGGTCATTGTTACAGCAGTAGCATCGTAAACGTATCTCGAACCGAATTAACGATATTTTTATTGGATTATAAAATAAATTTTTTTGTCTGTTTAAGTGTAAACACCCGTTTTCCAAGGGGCAGTCGGAGTATTTTTCACTGGAGAAAGCTTTCTAATATATTTGTTAAGGGATTTATTACGCATCACAAAATTCTCGGTAAAGAATGAAATAATTGGATGTGAAGGACCAGTTTACACTATTTTATCGCATGTTGACAATACAAATCTTTCGTCTAATTCATGAAAACGCATATATCTTGCACTTTATTCCATCAGCTCGTTTTCTTTAAAGGGTGGCATTTTCGTATCTTAACGGAGGAAAGAACGGTATATCCTTCACTTTCTATCGAGCTGGCAGGGCTTCGTAATCAGATAGACTCAAAAGAAAAAAAGTTAAATGATGGTACCGCATTAAATGTTAATGCGACAGCTGAAATTGCCTCTCCAATGATCTCGTAGGAGAAGAAATATTAGGAACAAGCAGGCTGTCACAAGACTTTACCGGTTACTGTTTAAATATTTCCAGAAGGCATTTCTAAAAGTGATGAGGAAATGGTGTATATTGGATTGCAAGAAGACAATCTTTTCATAGAACGATTACATTTTAAAGGAATGTAATCACAATTTACACTATTGAAGGTAAAAATACGATCTTATCCTTCGATAGAAAGGAAATACTTCGTTTCACTTCAACAAGTCAAATTTTTACTCATTAACTATAACGGCATTTATCGATTTTCATATTCGTATTTCGTGAGGTAATGTTAAAATTAAATATGTAATTGAATTAGAAATAACTTACAATCAATTTATGAAACTAGACATATAAATGTAAGCATTTTATGCGTTGAAAATTATTATTAATATACGAATGATAATTATATCATAGGTCTAAAGGTATCTTCAGTAATAAATCTATGTTAGAAATATTTAAACATCTTTTCTAGCAGTAGAATTCGAATTCTATATCCGATATATAGCCTATAACAAATTCTGCCGCTAGATCAAAAATAATAAATAAAAATATAAAATACGAAGAAAAGCAAAGTTTTAGAAGAAAAACCATTTAAATATTTCTAATGTCTGTTTCAATTCTAAATAGGTTCTGTAAATTCTTTGCTTCAGTTTGTATTGACTTACCTGAGGCTTGATCAGCCAAGAGATCTTTTAACACTTCATTCCTGCCAGTAAGTTCAACTGCAGACACTCGAACTGAAAATCTAGCACCGATTTTCTGTTTTTGTTCGGCGATGAGCTTGAAGAGCCAGGTGATAGCGCAGGGAATGATGCCCAAGTGCTGAGCAGACTGACTGCCTCCGATCATAGTATAAGACTTTCCTGGAAAAAAAATTCCTATAACTGTAATTAAAATTGTAAATTCTACTTGAAACCATCGAACGGTTTCAGCGGCTTGGAATAATCTTTGGTTTTCTGGAATTTCCAAGTGTATAACAGGGTATCCGTCTATCGACGGGTGGCGGAACTGTATCCACTGTCCTCCCCTAGGGAATCACTGTGCGTGCATTCGACCGTAACATATAACATTGTCTGCTTGCTCCCCACTGTATTATAAGCCTCTTTAAAACAGTTCTTTGGGTTCCCAAACCTCTTCAAATGCCTTAGTAGATAGAGCGCATAGCCTTAGATAAAACTAAAACAGCTATAAAATTCTAGTAAATCAAACTTTGATGTAGAAATTAATTTCAGCTAAATTCAGTTTATGCAGAACTAAAAGAATAAGTAAGGAAAGTAACAATTTTTATCGATTTAAGCTCCCGATATAAAAAGGAATCGATTCTGTAAACTGCATAATATCAGTAGTTTAACATCAAAAAACAAGGTAGGAAAAAAAATTACAGCATAATTAAGAAATGATTAGGAGGCAATAATCAATAAATGAGATAAAATTTGTGGAAGAAAAGCGCAGCACGTCATCTGTTCAGGAATGCGTGAACGATGTTGTGCCTTCTAACCCCTGCAGTGTGATAGAGGACAGGATGTAGAATCACATTGCATTCAGGAGTAGCTGAATAGGCTTCATTTACTCTACTGCTCTTCCATGGAATACTCTCGACAAACTGTCAAACCAGAAACTGCGAATAAAATTCTATTTTTATTATAGAAAACTTTTATCCTCTTTTCGTTTACATTTCAGCCAATTTTTAGCAAAAATCTTCAACTTTTACTGCTGCAAACTTTTACCAAATTGACCATATTTCAATAGAATAGATATTTCCGATGATAAAAAAAATCATTTTTTTAAATTTAAATATTTGTTAAAGTGTTTTACGATTCCATATGTGAGCCTGAAACCAGGTTAAAGGTGGTAGTTAGGAAAGAATTGCTTTAAGGAATATATATGTGTGTCTGTATGTGAGTGTGAAAAAAGTTTAGATAAGTTCGTAATCTTGAAATATGGTTGGTTCTCTTTAGTTCCATCTTCAATTGCAGCATCTTTCTTCTGGATGCGTCTGCTATGCAAGGAGAATTCCTAACGTTGCCTAAATGTCATTTTTCATCATCTATCATCGCTAGGATATAATACGCCATCTGGCGGTCTCTTTAGTTACCATTTGGATGACATCTCCGAGAACTTCTTCCAAACTTTATGCTCCGAAGCACATTGGTTTACACTCGCTAGATTAATTACTATAATTATGTAGATTTATCGACAAAATTAAAATTTCTACTGTATAATATATTCAAATGAGTAAGTTTCGACTAAAAAGAATTACACCGAGATGGAATACCGCCTCATTGTTTATATTTTTATCAAGGTTGAAAATTTCATTAAAGGCAAGAATTCTTCCGAGCCTCGAGAGAGGCGATATGACACGAGAGAGTGGAAGGAAAGGAGCATGTTACTATAGCAACGGTCATTTCATCTATCGGGCCAAACGTCTCCCGTGTGGACCTCTTTACATAATTAGTCTATTAGCCGTCTGTCTGAAATTATTAAACGTGTTGGCTACAGAAGCAAGAGTCGAGCACATAGGATCCCTTGTATTCCCTTTTACAACTTCAAATTCACAACTAACCTTATCTGTCTCAATAGATTGCTACAGTTCTCTACGTCAAAAATCTCATTATGACCAATGTCTCGTAATGGTCCAAAATTCAATAAACTTATTTACTCTTCCATTTTTCTACAACATAAAACTAAGTTTATGAAAATTTATTTCAGGTTATTATCCGGATGAGATTTTTAGCTTTTTATCTACACTATTTCATTCCTCTGAATAGGAAAAGTTGTGTTAATCCTCTCTTAAGATGTCTGAAAATGATCTTAATCATCCTTAATCTAAAATGTAGACTAGTATCGGTTGCTTTTCTATTGTTTTAACAGCGACATAAAGATAATTTCTTCTTGGGATAACTTTCTGTTTATAGGAAAATTAAATAATTTTATATAGAAAAATCATTTTCTAATTATATTTTTTAAAACAAAATCTATATTTTCAGGTATTTTTAATAAGAAACACCGTTTAATAGTTCTTCTTTCTAGCATTATTAAAGTCCCGAGTTCAAAAGATAAATGAAGAACTTAGACAAAATTACTATTTTATTATATTTAGTAATATGTTGATGTTGTAAATTATATTTACTGGTGTTTTTCATTTCGTAAAAGTTTATTTTTCTACAAATAAAATTTCAAAATACAAAAATGTGCTTACAAATTTAACTTTCAGCACATGAAATGAAAGTATAAGCAGAGAATATGAGCGTTACTCTTTAATAGGAAGATGTTCTTTAATCTTTCTTGTTCTTCCCCCCTTTTTTTAAATTAGTAGAAGTAAAATCACCCATTTAAGGAAGCAATTTCAGTAACTTTGCGTCATTAGTCAGAACTTCTGCAAATAATGGTCTAAATGAAGTCAATGAAAATTTTCGAAATTTACTTTTTAATTAATATACGCTTCGTAAGTTAAATTTGTTGAATTATTCCTGTATTTTCGGCGCCGTGTTCTATCCTATTTGGCAAACTAACCGGCCGAGTAAACGAAAAATTTCAAAATAAATAATTTCACAAGTAAAACAGCTAGATGAGAGTTATCATCAACAGAAAAGCAAAAGTTTAATCTCGGATGGCCCTTGTGGTACCTGTAACTCCATCAATTTCTCCTTTCTACAAAAGTAAAAACACCGAATATGTTTAATGCTACATTAAACCCATTACTACTTATTTTTTTTTCGTATTATTGCAAGAGAATTGATTTTTTTTACTGCTCCTGCCGAATGTATGAGAAAAACGAAGATAAGTTATTCGTTCGGAGATGCCTTTCTATCCTTTTTTTTATTTTTATTTTTTAATTTCGACTGACATCTTGGAAGTGCGATCCACTTTTTCTATGTCTTAACCTTCTTCGATTTTTATTTTGTATTAACTGTTTCGCAGAAAAATTAGCATAAATCTCTTGCTTAGTGATAATGTTAAAGTATTGATATGAGATGATATATTCCAATAGGAACAGTGTTTTTTTCCCTCTCTTGGTACTAGGATATATCCAAATATTGTATCGATTAGAGTTTCGTTTTCTCTCCTTCGTAATCCTGTAGGATTTTGAAAATTGTATGAAAAATTTTTCACCGTGTTTTGGTTTGATTCTCATATCACCATCGATTGAGATTATAAGGATGTGGCATTGCTGCCAATTATGTGTCAAGTTGGAGAGAATTGATTGAAATCTGAGCGTTTCCTCTTCATTCTACCCAAAAATAATTTTTCTGATATAGTTTTAATGTCTTTAGAAAGCGTGGCCATTGGTAAAAGGTTATCGTCCTTAGTAATACGTTCTGTCAATCTAGACTCGATTTTCATGGTTTATTATAAAAATAATTTAAAATAAATTTGTTCGGCCAGCAATTAAAACTGTGTAAAGTAGTTTTAAATTGCTTTTTCATTGATTAAATCAGAGACGTGACCTTCTATTCGAACAGCTTTCGCGACAGCTTCTTATTCTATTTAATAAAACGTTAGCTACTATGCGATAACAGGAAGGACATTTCAACTATTTCTGATTAATTTTTACTTAATTTAAACGATTTTTTTCCTTAGAAAATTTCACTTTAAATTCGTTAAATATGCTTAAACAAACGTTTCGTCTAAATAATGTTTAATGCATAAGGCACGAAAATGTCTTAAGAATCGGGAGAAAATTTTATAAAACTGATTTAAATTATATAAACATGATAAATATGCCAGAAGTTTTATATAAAGGTCATTTTTAAATCGAATCAAAACTCAATTTAGGAGTGGCGAATATTTTTCAGGAAAGGCATTAGCTAGCATTATGACAGGTCGGAGGGGGGAGAAAAGATGTGGAGGCCACGTCTTATTCTCACATCTGCTCTGACGGGTTGAATTCAACTTTTCTTTACTGTGGGTGTGATCTGTATCTGAATTCAGCACGTGATGCATCCTCGGGGAGAAGAAGTGACGAATGACTACCATCGCAGCAACTTGCTTCAACAGTCAGCAATATTCCAAAAAGGAGTTTTTGCTTGGCATTTTGGGAATTGGAATTTTCAATGAAAAAAGGTATCTTTGAAAATGAAAGATATGTTTATCGATGAAAAAATATTGCACGACAGACATATAATACTACAATACAATGATATCTGATACGGATTCTTGTAGTTTCGTATTGCTCGACTTTGTAAAGAATACTTTATATAACCCTATATAAATTTATAAGCGTAAATGTATAAACATTTTTAAAATCTTATATTAAAACACATGCGATTATATTTAATTTTAAAAATTCTTCGACTTTTGCCAGTCTGTGGTTCGATTTAACTCGGAATGCGATAACTATTTAAAATATACAGCAAATAAAGGTGAGAGGCTGATAGCTGTCAAATTTAATGCAATAGTTCAATCATTCCAACGGATTTTGTAATTTTTATAAGCGCAGAATTGCTTATGAAAATCAATAAAAGATCCTCGAAGAAATAAAAACACTAAAGTATTTTTAAAAGCAGTAGTTATATAGGATATTTTTTCGTTCTGTTTAAAAAGAATAAAAGTCTCGAGAGCTACGAACAAGTGCTATTGTTCTGCATATCGTCAATTTACTTTTTTATGCAACTCGGCAAAGAAGAATCTTGGTAAAAAGCCAGTAGTTCTTAATAAAACGCCAATCTATGAATGAGTTCCATTACAACTTTACGATTATAATTTTCTGATAGCCCTCCATAAATTTTACGAGGTTCTTTAACTGTCTGGAAACTCCATAATATCATTTTATGTACTAACTTATAATAATAATCTATTGTATATTATTTAATTATTTATCTGAAAAAATCTGTACTCACCTAACTTGGAGTGTCCGTATACAAAGAGACAGCCATCGTTTCCATTAACTACTGCTTGAATAACTTCTGTAAGAGAACTGGAACAAACTTCTGTCTATAAGTATAGAAAGAATATAAAAAGAAAAATGTCAGAAGCATAAAATCGGTTTTAAATACAAATCAATTTTAGACTTTATCGGTGGGGAAATGATGTAAAACATCAAAACTCTATAAAATACGTCGAAATCTATTCGATTTCTTTTTGTGAGTTGCAATAACTCTAACAAAACGTGAAAAAGATCTCGGATCTTAACTCCCACGAGTACACTATATTAGTAATGACCTCTTTGTCTTTCTTTTTGAGTTTCGGTCACACGATAGCTTTTACTTGTCAGTAAAAGTTGTACAGTACTTCAACATCACTAGGCTGGCACTTCTCTACATTATTTCTAAAATTATTACTGTAGATATAGTTTCTGCAACTAGCTGTCTGTCATGTTATGCTCTAATGATTTTTACAAAAAAATAAATAATTTTACTCCTGCGAGAGACTATATTTCCAACTATGAATATCTCTTATGCTATTTACTAAACTGTAAACATTTTCGTGTTTTTAATTTTATCTATAAGTAGGCAATGATGCGGATACTTTTGCATCTGTTTACGTACACCACAGAAGGAATATCTCAAAATATTCTAAATTCATATCAAGAAAAAGCACTTTTACTTTTCTTGGAGAGTCGTCGTTCTTTAATAATTCATTATATTATCTAATCTTTATTAAATTATTATATTGGCAAGCTGTTCATGAATAATTTCTCTTGGCAGTAAACAAACTTACAAATGACTTCAGAGAGATAGTTCTCAACTTCTTTATAATCTCATTAATATTATTTGACGTCCATAAACATTAAAGACTCTTTCAAATTGACGTTTGTTTGATCTCTTCTAGCACAGGATAGTTGTATCCAAATCTAATAAACATTTTGACAAAGTTTGATGGAGACCTAAGAGGCTTAACTACCAGATTTACTTGTAAATGTTACATTATGCGTTAAACTATAGGGATTTACAGTTGTATATCTTATTGATTTACATACCTGAGTCTCGTCTGGAGAATAGATGGCATCGAAAGCAAATATCTTTGGTGCAGAAACTCCAACTCTTCTTTCTGCTGGAGTCGATAAGCCGCAAGACGAAGGATCATACACGATTATTTGCTTCTTCCTGCTGTCGATATTCAAAAATGTCGAACTAGTATCTGTAGCTGGTTTAGCAGGACAAACTCTAACCATTACTTTCACCTGATCATAAAATTTCAATAGTTGGTTTAATAGCAATACCTTGGAACAATATTTATCATTTTTTAAAATTTTCATTAAATTATTTATTAAATTAATATTTGATATTTATTAAAACCAATCAAAAACTTGCTGATTACAAAATGTTATAAATAAATATATATCAGTATATTATTAACCAAAAGAGACTTAATCATAAAGATAAATCGTATGATTTATCAAGAAAATATTGAGGAAATATCTTTCATTCTCAGAGCACTAAAAATAATTCTCTTATTAACGATTAAAAGAGGGAAATTCTTTAGTCGATGAAAAGAATTCCTTGATTTTTTTCATTTTTAAGCCAGCTTCTAAAATAATGAATAAGGAGAGTTTCCTCATTAATGAAGGAATCACGAAATGAAAGACGTTACCATAACAACCAAGAAATACAGGAATGAGAAATATTCCCTCATAAGGAAAATCAAGGAATGAGGGAAATTACTCCAATAATGTAATTCGTTTGAAGTTGGAAAATTGCTTATATAAGAAGCTATATAAAAGAAGGCAAATAATTCCCTCCTTAATAAGTATTTATGCTTTGGGAAGAAAGTATCATGGATCCTACGGTCCGAAGATAGTTTAGGATGGTGCTGTATCTCCCAAAGCGGTAGGTAATGTCACTTTAGATAAAAGTTGATGTAATTACATTCCAATCACTTAGAGAGACAAGGCAGCTCCTCTCATTGAATCTTCTCTCCCCACTAAATCTTCTGATGGAGGTATTATCCACATAGTTACCGCCCATAAGCAAAAAAGACGACCTTGATCATATCCTGCACTTGTACGCATCTAAGTAATAACCGTATTTCTTTATCTAGCAAACTTATAGCTATTGACCGGATCTGCGTGACTGCTACAGATCAATACAAAACCATTTAACTGGCCTTTCCCCTCAAGGCCCTGCGACCCGCTTACTGCCTTGGGCATCGATCTGAAGGGACCTGTGAAGAACGAGACTTGCATACTTATCACCCTGTCGTGTGCCATTGTAAGTTTCAGCTTCTTAGATGATTCAGTCTGATATATGCCAAAATAATCGTGTAAGGCTAATAATACTCGATGCAAGATTGAAACTGATTTATAAAGATAAATTTTGCTTTCGATTTTGTTGATTTCAACATAGAAGCTTTGTTAAGTTCTGTGTAATTAATTCCTAATAATTCCTCTAAAACGCGATTCCACCGAGCTTAGAATATTTCTGGAAAATTTTTATCAAAATCTTAAATGAATAACTCATCCATTCTACAAACTGCATAATTATTTTATCCACGTCAATTAAATCGGAGCAATTAGAATTGGAGAATTCGATGATAGAATTCTTAGACTATCTTAAAATGGTCTAGAATTCCTGTTTCAACTATTCCGTTGTATATGGCGTTTAACATCTCATTACAGGCAACACAGAAGAAAAGGATTCCAGACCAAATGAGAAAATACCTTCAAGTATCTGCATTGAATCAGCATCCGATATTTCACGTACAAATTCCACAGATTCTCATTACATTATGACATTACACCTAGCGAATACTAAATATTTGATGGTAGGAAAACGGAAAATGGCGACTGTGCAAATCCCAGCTTCCATCAATCTTTGCTTAAGTGCCAAGGGCTGGCTTTAGTCACAGGACAGTCATTACCACGTTGACCCTATAGAGGGACAGTGAATGAAACAGTTGTCAGTTAGATAACTATCCTAAGCTGGTCACGATTGCTTGGTCTTTGAAGAAACAATTCATTTTATGGCTTCTGCTTGCTACCTCATAAAAAGGACAGGTGGTCTTCCATTAGTCCTAATAATGGTGGGGAATGGGCTCATCTCTGTTTTGATTCGGACGCTTGATTGTTTGGGAATGTTGCTTTCCCTCTTCACGATCTCCCATGGCTGATAGAGGGGATTATTAACGCTGTTTTGTTCCGTTATCGCTGTGTTAACGGGAATGATAATGTCCACTCTAGTTTGATTAAGCCAGCAACGAGACTAGACAAACTCTTTTCGCTTCTTTACACAATTGGCGTACGGCACGGAATAAGCCAAATTTTTTGTTAATCATCAAATTTTATCGACATTATTTTAGAAGCGCCGCGAGTCTCTTAAAATAAAGACGATAGAAAAATCAATAAAAACTGATAAAGAAAATGTAAATGAAGACCCTTAAAATAAATTGCACTTTTTTCGCTATTCTGGGCGATTTATTTCGCTTTTACATTCTGCAATTCAACGAGCAAAGGAAGGCGTCTACGACGGAAGAAAATCTTATTACCTCGCCTAGAGGTAGGATTTTCTGGACATCGATCTCCGTTTCTAAACACAGCGGTCAGCAAAGAGATTACCGGAGAATTCTCCTTCTATATATTTTTACCCAAGTACCACATATTACCTTACATCTTCACCTTCTGATACAACCCACAGAAAAAACACCTTAGCCGTCGTTTACTGCCCTTCAATGGTATATTTTTCAATTTAAAATTTTATAATCTGATAAATTTCATTGCATTTATCTAACAATACGCTTTTTTAAATAAATAAAACCGTTTGAAGAAATAACAAATGTCCGGATACTTCACTGCACTACTCATAGTCTTGCGGAAGAACCATCTTTACAGGGGCATTCAAAATTCATCTGGATTTAAAACCCTAAAGAGAAACAGGTATTTATTTATGAAAGTAACTTCTATATCGGGAAAAAAACTATAATTTAAGAGACAGAACAAACACTCTACACTAAATCAATAAACAGAATGCCTTTCCTTCTGCTTTTCAAGATTTATTACACTTAGGAACAGATATTACTTTTACAAGCAAAGGGGATTACCTTTCAGCTAAGCTATTGGTACATATGTTATATTAAATTGGAAAGCTTGAGTTATGTATAAATCAATCTGAAGATTACTTCACTTCTGCTACTGTATTATTAATATGATGATCACTTATCCCTGATGGAGCATTTGCGAATCTCCAGAGTGTGCCAGACACTTGTTGGTCTAAGATTGAATGTTCGGCTAATTACATTTAAATCTCCCAGGCAAACAAACTTTAGAATTCCTCTAGCGTTTTCAGTGTCACACGTGGCTTTCTCTAACTATAACTTCAGGTACAATAATTACTTCAAAATAATTAGTAAGTCGTAAAATTTGAATATGTTTTTAATATTCAATTACTCCATAATGAGCTATGACACTAATGTGATTTGTTGGAATTTAATTAGCTAATACTTAATTATAATTAGCTAATTAAGTTCTATCAAATTAAAATCGTGCCTAAAAACAATGAGTTTAATATACATAACAATGTTATCCTTTGGGTAGTTCTAAAGTTTAGCGCAGTCATCGAGTGATTTATTGCATCTCTAGTTTCTCCGTCGTTTATACTATCGATAATATAATCCCAAATTTGCCGACTCGGCTAATTTTAGTCGACTTATCATGATTTGTCACGTGACTAATGGTTAACGTAGATATTTGGTAAATAAGAAAGTTTAATAAATCATGTTTTTAACGCGTGACTAATGAAATTTAGCATCGATGTTTGTCGAGAGACGAACGTCAAAAGTATCTCAATTTAGAAGAGGAAAATGCCTCCTTCCCGACCATAAAATCAAACTTCTTGACAAGAAAAACAGGATCGCTTGATAGTCTCACCTCCCCATCGTTGACAGATCATTTGTTCTTGTCACAAATACCATTCTATAACTCAGTTCACTACCCAGAAGCAAAAATCACTAAACAAACAATGATACCGGATCATTTATTTAAACTTATCTGTAACAGTGACAGGAGGTAGAAGATAGGTGTCTGGCTAGAATACCTTTTTACTTTCTAATCAGGTATGCATTTTATAAAGTGTTTGTCAAAGAAGCTAATTGAACCATCAGTTCTGGCATAATCTGTCATGTTTGTTTTTATAGTCAACCAAGAAGCAAGGAGGAAGAAAAAAAATGACAACTTTGCACACTTTGTTTTTAAAACACGACAGCAATCAGATAAAGAATTGACATTTTTATGAAACACTCTCAAAAGTTGCAAAAATTATCTCGCTTTTCAGAGGAAAAAACAACGAAAAAAATCAACTTTGTGCTTGTAAAATTACAGTTTACTATAATATTTATAACATAAATTCGATTCAGAAATTGATAAATAATTAAATCAAACGTGGAAAAAACAGAAATATATATATATAAAGGAAAAGAATAAAATCTTTCTAATATTTTTCGACTGAAAAAATCGGTAAAGAAACATGCCACATGCTGAGAAAACGGAATGTTGTGACAAAGGATTCTGTCAGCAAAAGCAGAAACAGAAAACAACAAAGTCTTCTCGGTCCACAAAAAAATACCAAGAAAGAATCGGGTATTGTGAAAACACTTATTTCTTCACGGATAAACAAACTGTGCAACTTTGAGGGAGAAGTAGTCCGCTTGTTCTTTGCAATTTATGAGACTCCTGTCGCGTTTCAAAATCGAATATTTGAATTTCTTCGCTTATTTTTCTCTTTTTATCTGCATAATATTACACGCAACAAATCTAAGTTTTATTCAAAATTAAATTAAAAAAATTAAATGTTTTCCTGTTTATGCGCTTCTCTACAATAAAAATAAAAGATTTTTAAAAAATCTTTGTTTTGTTTTCTGTTTTAAATTGAAATATTTTTATTCGTCTCTGTCGTTTATAAAAATTTTACGACGTAAAAAGTAAAAATAGAAGAATAAAAACCATCTCAATTTTTCAATAACGCTCTATTCTGTGGTTTTTTATTTATTTATTTATTACTTTAAATATTTAAGAAAATATAAAAGTAATGTTTTATAAAAAGAAAATATATCTCGCTTATGTTTACCTAAAGGAAAAAAACTGTTTAAATAAGCGATTTCCTCTCAATATTAATTTATTAATTTATCATTTTATAAGTGTAAAATTTCGGAATTTCGAAACTAAAACAGAGATGATTCTTCGTTAAATTCATATTAAAGAAAAAAAATCTAGACTTATAAAAATGTATAACTTTATAATCTTGAAAGCAAATGAAAAAAAAAGTAATAAAAGAGAGTTTTAATAATTCACAATTTAAACTTTAACTTTGTAAAATTTCGACTGGTAAAAATCGTTTTTATTTTATGATTCTTGAAGAAACTAATTTTCCTGGCTAAAACATTATAAATATTTAAATTTGATTTAATAATATTTTTAAAAAAAAGTATAGAAAATTTTTCAAACTTCGCTTGGACAGAATGTTTAAAAATACTTTCTCACGGGTGAAGATAGAGATGTAACGTGTACATTTGTGAATAAAAATCTCGATAAACACAGCATAAATTTTCTATTCGGTCAAGCAATTAAAATATTGAATTATTTCTCTTCGTTTCGGGGTCGAGTCGATATCTAGTAACTGAGTTGCCAGCATTGATTATGGTTCAGTAATTAACTGGCTGTCACCTGACTACACTTTGCTAAAAGTATTTAATTAAAAAGCCCTCTTGAGAAAGGAAATGAAATTTAAAGAGAATCAACGAATGAAGATCGGTTTGGTGGAAGAAGAAAGATTTTTTCTCCATCGTCTTTAACTGTTGATTAATAACCGCTAATAGATTAGATTAAACAGATTAGAGCGAGTTTTTTATTTCTAATTCGTCAGGATAATTTAGATCTTTAGCTGATTCATAAATCATGAGCTTTGCGTAAAATTATACTTAATATTCTTTTAATTGCAAAACGCATCAAGCCATTGCCAGATCGTAATCAAAATTCTCATTAAGGATCAGTCCGCAACGCGTTTTATAAAGTGAAATTTGTTAATGATGCCGTTTAAAAGAGTGCATTAATACGTTATAATAGTCCAGAACCCGATAGTCGGGGGTAAGACAAATATTTACACAAAACTCCATTTTGTCAGATTGCTACGCCGGAAGGTGTTCGGTAGAAGATGGTCTAACGCCTACTTTAACGTTTCTCACTTAACTACCATTAACAGGTCATCTGTTCGGCCAGAGATGTCACCAGACAGATGGCTGCAATCAGAACGGAGGCGAAAAAAGAAAAACACAAGCTGGCACTTAAAGCTTTCTTTCCATGTGGCCAGTACTGTAACGCATCTCGTTAGTTCTTATTGCGCGATTCGATAGAAGACGGACATTTTTCCGGAACGGACGGCGACGACGTCGGTGACAAACCACAGATAGATAGTCTTACTTTGCCAATCCTATCATAAAATCGCTTATGTAATTAATCATGGGGAGCTGACACGGGCTTTCTGTTAAATCCTTTCTGCTGGCTAGACTCGGTGACTCTGGCAAGGACTCAGCATGGGGTGACTGTGGTACCTAGTCGACGCCCTTGTATGGCTCGGATGTTGCATATATCTCCCTTAATGTCCCCTGTCATCGTTTTGTGGCAGTGCGCAAGATGGATTTCTCTATCCTTGTCTCTACAAAACGACTGCCTTAAGCTATGGGATGCACTTAATGCTCTTAGGTGCGAGGTTCGATACGTCGCTAATTGCAGATTCTTCTTTTTTTTAGATCTTTAAATCAATTCTTCGTTCTTTTATCAAACTTTCCACTTTGGGCAAAAGTCTCCTGGTAACTCCGTAATTTCGATAAAAAGCTTTTCTTCCCCGAGAATCTTTTAGATCTTTATATCTAACATGCAAATTTTGACATGGGTGTCCCCCTCTCTCGTGGCAATTTTCTTGGTATTTTAAACATTTTCTCTCGGCCGTCCCGAAACTGAATAAGTACGTCGGAAGGTAATGACAGATAATTTCGATAAACGTCCCCAGTAAGCTAGATATTAGCTTATTGATGGACATAATGCATATAACGACGTCCTCTTCTTTATTATCCACGTAATTATAAGTTCGTTCCGGACGGAGTCAAAAAGTTAAGCGGAGAGATCATAGTAAACCGTGTTCTTTTTAGACAGGACCCTATTACGTCTTGGCAACGATGAAAAATAGCGTTCAAACTTTACCTCAAGTCATTAATATCTCTGGCATTGCACACGTGACATCGACCACGTGCATAGTGTAAAGTTGATTAACGATTTTCTTAACGATTAATCTAAACGGTCGGGATATATGTCATAAAAGTTCCTCAGACACTTTGCTTAATCAACGCTGGGTGCAAGGTATGCATTGTATAGAACGGAATTCTCCGGGGAAATTCGCTACAAATACGCACCACCCTTGGATTTTTTTCCTTTATGTTTTGGCTCCGGTTATAAAAAAAAAAAAAAAAAACATTCGATGCTTAATGTTTTTAGAATTAATGTTAGAAATTTTTTCTTGAAAATTAAACTTTTCTAGTAGCTGGAAAGAAAAGAAAAACTTTTCTCCGAACAAAAACAGATCAAAAGAATTTTATAAGAGAAAAATTGCGGTTAGAAAAAGAGAATATCATCACCTTTCCGATGCCGACACTGTCCTTTCTGCCTCCAGTCCTGAAGAGACAAGGAGGTGCAGGTGGTGGAGTGGCCCTGATGACGTCGTAGAAATTAGTAATAAATGAAGTAACCTCGCCATCAATAGCAGTCTGATGACGTCTCCGCTTCTTCGATGATAGATTAAGCCTTTGAGCAGCTCTGAAAAAAAGAAGCAAGACGGATTTAGTCACATTTTTTTCCTTGTGTATTTAAGAGAATAAACCATAATTTGACTCAATGTGACCACGAATTAAGTATTTATTAGGTAAAATATTTAGATTTATAACTTGTTTTAGATTAATAATTCTTCAGGCGATAGTTTCCTGATGATAAAATATTAATAAATTTTAAATTCTAGACACCTCTTTAAGGAGTTTTGCATAATTCTGTTTACGGATGAAATTTAATTTATAATTAAGTTTCCACAATAAAAAAGTTTGAAGTTCTATAATGAAAAAGGAGTCTAAATTTATCATCTAAAGTCTATCGATTCTTTCCATCCGGCAGACAATTTCACTTATCAAAGTTTCACCGAAAGCTTTAAAGATAATAAGTATCTTCTTAAAATTTTTACAAGATACTCGTTACCTTTCGGAAATTTTCTTGGCTGGAAGGTTCCTTGGTTTAAGTTAGCTTTAAACTAACATTTCTTGCTACTAAAGTGAAAAGACCAACAAGGACAGAGGGTAGATAATAAAAAGGAAGAACTCCTGTCAACAAAATGGCGGTATCAAGAAAAGAGGCATTAAATCTACCTCCTCCTAATAAGGTAGGTAAACATTCTCCGGTAAAGAAGTAAATTAGGTAACTGACAGGTAAAAGTGAACCGCTTCTAACGCTTAGAACTACGTTTCTTCGCCAAACACATAGACCGGAATCAATAAGATTTTCCTTGGTATTCCAGGGCCGTTGCAGAAGGTGAAGATTGCATCCCTGCGGGTTTGGACCCAGCTGTCAATAGCAGTCGTGGAGACAATACCGTCTTTCTTGAACAGAACAGAAAGAACTTATTGATGGTTCCGTCTTAGAGAAAGTAAGGTGTGTTGCTACCTCCGGGATGTCTTGCCCTTACTTGTACATGATTAACACCATGGCGGTTGCGGTATTTTAATTAGTTTTCTTTTTTTAATTTTTAAAAATAATGAAACCTTCCAAAGCAAATGCAAAAGTAGCTCGCCGCTCAAAAAATGGCGGATAAGAAAAAAAGAAGGGCTTTATAGATTGCGTGTCTTTTATTCCGCTCGGATGTGCCGGGATTACCAACGTGCTGTTCGCGTTTGATAAGCATTCATTGCGGTATTCTAGCTACCTACTCCCTACTTAAAGGTAGAAAACATATCAAATAATAGAAGCGAAAAAATATTTTAAAACTGCTAATAATTAATTTGTTAAAAGCTGATTGTTTCCGGAATTTCCGTCATAAAAAAAATGGTTCAAATTTCGGCATTGTATGAAAGTTAAAAAGCCCGAAGCTGTCGACCAATCTTTACGTGATCCGATTGCATGATGCACAATGTAATTATGGAGATGTTTCTATTTGCAAGGATTTGTTAATTAAGTTTTACATTAATTACTTAGAATTGGCGAGCGTTATCCTTTGACAGCCATCTGATCCATCCGTTTGAATTTTTGTTTCTCTATCACTCTAGACGACCTTTCTCTTGCCCTTAATGATAGAAAATTTCCAAAGGTTTCGAATTTTCTATCAATGTAACAGATAGATACGTTTGCTCCAAGGCAATTTGGATACAATTTCAGTTTCTGAAACATGCAAACAAAGCGTAGAAATGAAGAATGGATCGGAACAATTTTTAAAATTTTGGTTCTTCAAGACTGAGAAAATCCGAAGAGCCATTAAATCTCTTTTAACTCACAAAAGAGGTTAGAAGTCGACTCACTAAATGAAAAAACCTGCGATTATCTGACGAAAAATAAACATAAACCGAGTTTAAGTCGATTTTTAAACCTAAATTAGCCCATTAAAACGAATTAATTTCACTCGGAAGTATCCAAAAGTTAATTAATTTTATTCAAAATACTAAAATTTAATAAATATCTCGTAAAATTTTGTGAAAGAACTTTTGAATTGCGTTAAATTTAAATGGAAGCTTGAAGTTTCCTTTCTTTCATGTAAACTTAAATATTACTAAATATATTAATAAATATCATTAAATTATCAAATCTTTTCCCATAAATTAAGATTAATAACAGCTTTTGTTGGTGATATATTTTTAAGCGTAATAGAACGGTTTTCAACCTTTTATCACTCGCGTATCCCTCGAGTCTTCTGTGTATAAACTTGTAGCACTAACCGATCTTTCTTGCATACTCCTGGGGGTACGCGTACCACCGATTGAAAGCTGCTGGCCTAATTGAAATAAGATATCGAGTCAAGAGAAGGAACTGTCAAGGAGTTTGTTAAAGTAGAAAGTGTGGTGCAAATCCCTTCTATCAGGCTAAATTTCATTGTTTATATATTTTTTTTTTGGTATATAAAAATTTCTACATTCACAGATACCTGTTTTGGCAATTTAACGACGTAATCTGGGTTAATGGATGTTTTCTACTGGAGAATTTCTTCTCATTTGAGATGTTTTTAGCTACACCTTGTAATTTCTGTTTAATTTTTTCTATCTGTGACCCACAGGAGCATTTTTCTCTTTTAGGATTAATCTTTCTTTCCTTTTTCTTTACTTTCTTCTTCAAATCCTCGTTTCTTGACAATAAAACAATTTTTTTCGAGATCAATTGTTTCGCTTAATTTCTTTTTTTTAAAGAGGATTGCGGAAGAAAAAATACATAGAGGAGAACCCCGGGAGATTAATTATATTTTTAAAAATTGCGTAAAATTTAAGAGAAATGGCAGGTAATACGACTTAATTAATTAGTTGCTAATTTTAAAAAGTTGCCATGAAAGATCGGTTTGTTTATTTTATCGCTGATGGCGAAGAAAAATAATTAGTCAAATTTTTCCCCTCTCTTGAATAAGAGCGGAGGAGCATTAAAAAGTAGCAAATTATAATTTATAATGAATTGTATTTAATATTTTGATGAATAATCGTGCGATTTTCCAACAGAATTTTAATTTTCATTCTTGTAATACATATAATAAATATTGACTATTAAACTTAATCTATTGTAAGATTATTGCCGTTTGAATCTATTTATTAGTAATCAAAAAACGAAGAGAAAGTCGAGACGGATTTTAAACATTAAAATTAGATGTAAAAGACATAAAATTTAGTGGAGCCAAAATTTTCGGATTCCTGTTAAATCTGAAGGGGAATGATGTGTGGAGGGATAATCAGGAGAGGGAGCAGTCGAGAGACAATGAGCGAGAGGTAGTTGACACGCTGTCTCGAGTTGTAGCGGCAGCAGATGTGGTCTGGAGGTAGAACCTAGCCTCAGTCCTCAAGCCACTTCTGTCAAACTGAGTAACAGCTGTGCCTGGACATCGATCCAGCCGAGTGCAGAACCCTGTAACTCTCTTAGGACTAACACTCCTTGCTGCCCGCTTCTCTGACATTCTGATGCTTTGATATTTCTCTGCCAGACAAATAAGTGCTCTTTTGCTAGCCTGTAATTTCTTTTTTTCTTCTTCTTCCTGCTAAATAAGAAACACTTACGGCTAAAAGGAGTCTTTTTCGGAAATAATGAAGCTATGTACACCGCAAAACAATCCATTTATCTGATAACAAAGATCATTTAATCCAAGAAAGATTCAATTTACTAACGAAACTCGGTTCAAACTTTGTAATATAGATTTTAAATAGTTCATTAACTGCATAATTTGATACGTAAGTTCGTCATGTTCATTAACATTTGCAACTGTCAAAATTATTAATTTTATTCGTCACGTTGTCGTTGCTTTCGAGATGATTTAATTTGAACGTATCCGTTTTCCCGGAGTAACGACGGTAAAAAGATTATAAAAATTAATTAGATACGGATATAGGCTATTACAAAATCGTTTAGTTACAAATAATATTAAATTTCTGACGATTTTCCGTCCAAGTAAGATGTGGAAATTAAAGCAATTCGATATAGGCGAAGCCAGGAGTGAGACGAAGGGGATGCATAACAGCTTACAAGCGAGCATTATTAAAGTCCAATATCCAGACAAGCTCCCTACTAGCTGCTGCTTGATTAATGAGTTCAGCCCTTAAACGTCACCTTGACACGAGCTTTACAGAAGTCATTGGCAGGGTTAAAGTACATGCCAAGAACAAGACCAATCAGTGCTTCTTAATTGAGCTATTTGTAGCAATTCCCTCGGGGGAAAAAACTTTAAATTTTAACAGGTTGCTATAATCTGATAGGGAACAACTCTGGCGGATAGATTCCGGTAAGTAGTGGAGTGGATTGATGTGTAACGTGGCAGAAAGCAGACTTATATATCAAAAAAGCCTCTCGGTTGCGACAGGGAAGTAGACTAATGCCAAACACGAATATCGGAAAGCGTCAAAACTTCGTATTTCTGCTGAATATTAAGATCTTTTTTTATTGTTTCGTGTTTATAGTTTTTCTTTTAACAGAATTGTAATGCCCGTCATGGTTCTGGGACGATATTACATTCAGGATGTTCTTATTAGATAGTCGGGCAGTACTGTCCAAATAGAAAGTCTTCGTGTCTCCGGGGAACGAAGAAAGAGCAAATAAGACTGTAGAAAGTCAGAGAAAGACAAGAAAAGTTCGTTGTCGAGAGATAAGCTGGCGAATAGCCTGGGGCCATCCTTCTACATCTTTGAGGTATGGAAGTCTGTAAATATGAGACTTTTATCTATCGAGAATCTTGTTCCATTTTAAGAACATTTGTTCTTTCCACGTGTATTTTGTTTTAGGTAGAGTATTTTCCTCGTAAAACACCTCTTCTATATATATATGTATAAGCTCGTCTCGAATTGAACCTAAGAATGAAATTTGCGTGATAAATGAGATTTGCGTTTCCTCGGTTTGAACCAAATTCTAATTATTAATTCGATATTAAATATTTACGATGGAATCGTGTAAAATACCATCGGTATAGCCTTTTCGAGTCGTCTGAAATAAAATTCCAACAGGAGATCACCTAAATATTTATAATAAAGTGTAAACGATTTCAACAGTTATTCGAATTTCTTCCACGTCAAGATTTAAGAGGATTAAGTTTAGCAAGAGATGATGAGGCTCATTTTCCAGAAAATTGATCATTTCTCGAGCGAGCAGCGCTTCAATTTCGTGCAGAAACTTGAATTTTTTTCATATAAGTTACTGTAAAAATATTCATAAGGAGCATTTAAGCTGTCAATTTAAACGCTTCGACGTCTACTATATCTCGTGTAAGAGACGAGACCATCTATAATATTTCAATAACTTTTACTAGTGAAAACTGGAATATTTTAATTTTTGGTATTTAGTCGATAAAGAAAATAAAGCTTTCAATCATTTCTGATAGCTTTCATCTAGATACGATCGACTGTTCACAATAAGGAAATTGAATAGCGCACTAGAACACCTTGTATATATTTTTATACCGTGTAATTTTTTACTTAATAGCAATCAATCAACTTGATGCAGCATGAACGAGAATGGTTCCGCATGATTTTTTCAATATTGACCGCACCTTGCTCATCATCTAAATGGAACCAGGGATTTTTCTGCTAACTTTTATCGCATCTAATCACCGGAAACGGTAGCAAAGTTTGTCTTCTAATATTAGGATAATCGCTTCTGCTTATCTTATCCCTAAACCCGTCCTGCGTTGCAGAAGAAGTAGGGAAAGAATCGTTTTTCTTTAAAACTTTCAACAAACACTTCATAATCCAGGTACAGAAATAAGTTAGATTAGATCATGTATCCTGGGGGACTACTTTTCTTTTACGTGGTCGGTCACGTGACCGGGTCAAAAAGGGGGAATAGCGGAGAAAAGTGAGATGCGCTCTACTGGAGGGAATCAAATCACTGCAGATCGGGTAGAAAAGGAAATTAGCTGTGCATCGATTGGAAATTGTTTTAGGGTGAAGATACGGTTAAAAGATTCCTCGCAATGGTATCTTATTGAACGAAATGCAAAAAAACTGAAGAAGGAGGGAAAAAAATCATGGCAAAAATGCTGATGAGAGTTCTCAAATTCTGTTCAAACTCGATTCTGTTTCCGATACAAATCACAAACTTTTATAATTAAACTTTGTCAAAATTCTTTCAAATTTATGCTTCTAAATCCACTTAGTTTAATTTTATCTTCTAAATTAGTCTCATTTTCTAAGTTTTTATATAATTTGCTAGTCATATTTCATCATGGGAATTTTTTTAGATCTGATGGGAAAAACTTCTAGTTAATTCTCTCCTTTAAAAAATAAACAAGTCAAGCTTTATTTGTGGAAAAGGAACAGTTCTAAGTTATTACTTCACTCTAACTTTATCAATTTTTGAACAATTTTAAAGCTAAAGTAGAATTTTTCATTTATTAATTTCGAAAAACTTCTGCAAAAATCTATATTAGATAAATAAATAAAGACACCGAGTAAAATTTTTTCAAAATAATATTGAATTTACAAGCTTTTAGAACGTAAATAATCAAACATTTTCTATCATTTTAATAACTTTTAATACAAAAAAATACCTTCTATTATTTGAATTTGTGAGGAAAAAGAGTGCCTCATAATCTAAGAATATGCGACCCAAACAAGATCACCAAAATTATTTAAATCCATGATGTCGTCTATTGGTCGATTCTAAATATTGAATTCAAAAGGAAAACATCTCGTATATTCCGGAAAAGAAGGAGAAAAAAGATCAGAGATTCGTTCAAGTCCGAAAAAGAATTTATGGATAGAATTTCTCAAAATATTAAATATCTGGAAAAATAGAATTGGATCCAATATCGAGTTATATGCACCAGCTTCACTTCTACAGTTCGATGAGTACAGACAGAACATTGCAAGCAGCATCCTTCTAATTCCTTTCGGATCCTTCGGGGATTAAAGAGAATCATCCTCATGCATTTAATGTGATAAGATGAGAGGAATTCGCTCCAGATCCATTTTGTTCTCATCTATAAATTATTTATTGTAAAAATTATTTCGATTTTTATGTAAGTATATGACCACATCGTTTACTAATTATATCAATATATAAAGAGTGGAAGAAACGTAGCACATTTATCTTAAAATTAGAGAGAATATTTGAAGAGTGTTACATCAAGAAAGCTGTTTTCTTGATTGCGTCCTGCTTTTACTATATCCAATCTTATTGAAACTCATAATGACGAGCTTACTCGAACGTAGAAGTTCTTCAGAGATATAATCAGCGAAATGACAGGAAGGAAAGACAAGTCTTAATGAATGCGAAAGAGTTTGGAGGGTACCTTCCTTCCTTAAGTTTAATTAATTGCAGAGTTTGCAAAAGCATATGTGAAGAAGTTTAGACAGGAAGATTTTCATTCAAATATTCTATATTTCTGCTTAATTTTATAGCTATTATCCATACAATATATTTTTTATTAATATGTAAAATTCCTTTTAATTATGCAAGTATTCAATAGNCAAATATTTGATTTTTTTTAATAAACATATTTTCACAAAATTGTGGAAATAAAATTGTAAAAATAATAATAAAAAGCAGAAATTAACACTTTCAGAAAGAGCCGCATGTAACTCAAAAAGAGCCGCATTTGCCCATGTCTGTTACAGGCTCTCTAGTATGGACCACTCTCTCATTATAGGCTCTCTCATGGTGTGTTGTCTTGCTTGGACAATACACCATGTCATACTAGTCACATTGTTATGGATTGGATGGAGGATATTGGCATTTAAAATAACTGGTCATTCTAGAATCCTGACTGAACCCTAAAAGAAATATTTGGGATGAATTGTCAGGTATGTGTATATATAGATTCCCTTAAAAACAAAATTCAATTAGCCATTCCTTTGCAGGTCAAATGACAAAACATATTACTGAATATTTTCCAAAAACTTATGTATGACTTGTCACAAAGACTTGCAGCCATTATGAAAACCAAACATTTCAGAGCACAATAGATTTGGCAATTTTATAAAAATTGATACTGTTTAGTTTCAGATATTTCACTTCAGCCAACAAGTCGTAATATCAAAATATTTTCAATGATTTGCTGGCTGAAGTTAAAGGTTAGTGTTTTAATATTCTATATCTTCAGTTTAGAAGTGCTCAATCATTTTTGTAAAGATTTTTTTAATTATCATAAAAAATCTTTATGATAGGCTACTTGAAAAAGTCTTTTTATAATTATAGAATTTTTCTTTGAGATTCTATCATTTTTTTCATCTGCAAAGAATGTACAAAATTTTAGTATTTACTTTTTACAAGAAAATTATAAAAATAAAATATTAGCAAAATTTAAATTTAAATATGTGTGCATTTTTTTTACAGGATTGGTGGAACAGTACATCTTATGCACAATTTTATAGAACATGGAATTCAGTTGTTCATGATTGGTTGTATACATATGTTTACAGAGATACATATCTTGTATGTAATTTTTAAATTATATGTTAATTATAAAAATAAAAGAAAGCATTAAAACTTTATTTTTTATTTTTATAGATCACTAGGAATAAATTATATGCATTATTTACAGTATTTTTTGTGTCTGCTGTTGTTCATGAATATATTGTGACCAGTATATTGCATTTCTTTTATCCTATTTTGTTATTCCTTTTTGGTATATTTGGTGGTAAGTATGTATCTGTATTATTTAATTATTTTTCAAAAAAATAGCAAAGTTGTAACAATTTGTCTGTACGTTAAACGTTACCTGTTATATTAAATTAATGTCATATAGCTATTATCCATACAATATATTTTTTATTAATATGTAAAATTCCTTTTAATTATGCAAGTATTCAATAGATTTTAATCCTTCAATTTTAATTATTTTTCAAAAAAATATACAGCAAAGTTGTAACAATTTGTCTGTACGTTAAACGTTACCTGTTATATTAAATTAATGTCATATAGTTAATAGCTGCTTGATTGACATTATAATTACTAGGCAGCCTATATTGTTAATATGTGCTGGTAGTAAAATTTTGATTTTCTCAGTTCGTGAGCACTTTACGGTTAAAATTATTATAATTAATTTACTATTCTATATAAAGAGAAGTTTCGGAAGTTGGAAACTTATCTAAAAAGGCCTGAAGCAGTTAGTATTATAATTTAATACAACTAATTTAACTTTCGGCACGTGTTTGTTCGGTAATTATTAAACAATTTTTGCTCACATTTTGCGCCGTAAATCAGAAACGGGGGTCATTTTATTATTAAGACACCCCAATTCATCCGAGTTAGATGGAAACAAATTAAGATGGGTCAATACCAGAAAGACGGTTAATATTTCCCGGACGACCATTACTGTACGTGACTGGAGCAGGATTAAGTAGAGTCCTAAATGTCACATTTACCAGTAGTCAAGTAGAAACATGGCCAAACGCTTCGGTAACTCTGTCACACAACTTGCTCTCTCTTCAAACCTCCCTTCCTTTTCCAAACAAATGACTTTGAAGTAATCGTTCCCACACCTAAGAGAATGGAAACGACTGAATCCAACAACGTCTGAGCGATCCATCACTGACATGCTCTACTGCCTCTGCCTCCATTTGAACCAACCTCCGAATCATTTGCATTGTGTTACCAAAGTGCACTTTACTGAAATCAATGGTAATGTGATTAACTCGACTAAAATGGGGGGTTACAGTCACAGCTTAGGCATCCCTTAAAACCAGGGGCTCTCGTGACGATTTAAATGCTGTCGCTCTCCTTCATCTTTGGCAGAAACCTTGTCGAAATGAATGAATTCCCCATACTTTGTTTTCCTCAATGTTGTGGTTCTGTACCTCGTTTCCTTTACTTGCCTTTGTTTTAATTGTTAAAATATCGTCTCGGCACTTCATTCACTTATTTTTTTCCTCAAAATTTCAAACTTACGAAGTTAAGATTACATTAAGATTTTCTCATCAAAATCTCCTCAAATAAAAGAATTTTCAGAAGAGATTAGACAGTTAAACTTGTTAAAATTATACAGCAGATGGATTCGATTTTTATTTATAAAATAATTACAGTCGAGGATGGTTTTTCTACATCACATCAGAAACCCTTGTAAGAGAAACAGAAAAAAATTGATGGATAATTCCTTTCACTTGTCTTATGTACAGATTGTCTTTTCCGGAATTAGGAACCGGACAAGAGCTTATCTGCCCCTCTTGTCTTATTAGCCTCTGGAAACTTTTTGGCTATTATTTTTGTCAATCAACATTTTATGAGGAGAAACTCCTCTCCGATACATCAGAACCACACCCTAAAACAAAAAAAAAGATAATTTCATCTTCTACAATCTCTACGGTTTCTTTTCTTTCTGCCAATAAACTTTTGTAAAGGAAAAATGGCGAAAGAGGAAAAAACTTTGCAGGAAAAGTAAATCCCTTTATCTAAGACCAATCATTATCTAAGCGATTGGTACCAAAAGAGCAGAGACAGTGAAGCAGAAAAGAAGCTTAGATGCATGAGAAACGGTAATGTAATGAAGTACATGATTGTGCAAGAGGTGTGAAAACTTATCAGAATAGACAGTAAACAAGGAGAATGCAGCAAACAATGATTACGTGTTAAGTCGCAACGATACCTCAGCTGCGATTAATGATCTTAATCTGTGTGCTTGCCTAAGGCTTTCATCCGCTACCTTTGCAGTAATGAGATAACAGCTGGGTTTGGAATTAATGACTGGCCAGCTTAAGACCCCTTAAAAGGCTTTAATGGCGACATTTATTTTATCTCGCTCTGCCTGACCACATTCGCCTGCCATTGTACACTGTTTTAAGATGCGGATAAATGGACAATCTCATGGGATTACCGAATTTTCCCAAATATTTGTTAATTCTTATCTCTATTTACAGATTAGCCTAATGGTTAATTGAATGATCATAATGTACACCGTTGTGATATTTTTAATCGGTTAATCACCATTAACAGGTTTAAAATATACTCGGATTATTTCGTTTTGAAATTTTTTAATTATGTATTAAAATTCCTTGCTTCTTTCTGAGAATTTTGTATCGATTTCTAGAGCTCAATTTGGTGCGCCTCTACCTGCTTATCCCGATATTCCAGCTCGGTTGCCAACGCGATTTTAGAAGCCCAACTTCTTGATATAGCCGAGTATTACCGAGCTACCAACATATAAATAATGCCCAACAGAGGCTGATGATAAATGGAAAACAGATTTTACACCTCCAACCGATAACTGACTTTTCTGTCTTCTTCCTCCGGAGGTTGTCATGGCGACGAGAACCATCTGCCAGGACAAAATAACGTTTCTCTCTAAAAGTCGCTCAGGAAATAAGCAGCCTTCGACACAACCGGAATCTTAGGTACAGTACATACAAATATGAATCAGCCCGGTTAAGCAACAACATTGATAGAAATTTTCCATTTACAGTTAGAAATGCTCCAGTTCATAACTTGCCTATAGCGCTAGATTTTTAGCTGAAATTAGAATAAATTTAATTAATTACATACCGAACTTTATTAAACAATAATAATTTAAAATATGTATTCATCATAAATTTATCCCCAAGTAATATTTCTGCATCAATCTTTCAAAAAAACGAGAGCATAGATAAAAAGAAATTAGGAGGAAAATGATGGAATAAGTGTAGATCGTTCGAAAAACTACAAATTTCCGGGCAAACAAGCACGCTGAATAGAAAAGAGGGTCTCACGTAGAATGTCACACGTGGAGTACCAGCTGAAAGATGTATCCCTATAGCCACCAGAAGGGCCAGTTTTCTCGAAGTGGAATGACCCATTTAGCTGACACTAAACTCATCTTATTTCACGCTAGTACATCCGTCTTGACTCACTCCCAGCTGATAGTCCAAAAATACTATTTCCCTTCTTTTTCTTACTCCCACTTCAACATCAGTCTCAACGTAAAGGAAAGATAATTGGAAAGACTTGGATACTCCGGAGATTTGGCATGATTCTACACCAATTAACTGCTCCAAATGACCTTGTAGTAGTTTGAAGTATGGACACTGTTGACGAGAACAGCCATAATGAATAATAGCTCCTTCATTACGGGCAGGTGCAGATTTTTTTTCTCATATTTTCCCTTTGAAAAACCGGGGATGTTATTGTTAGTTTTATCTGATAATTTAACCGGATGTACGTCGAATTTACATGAGATTAACCAGATTTTTTTCAGGCTACTACCACTAAAAAAACTAAAATAAAATAAAAATAAACCCATCCTTGTGAGTAACACGATCGATAATTGTAATAATAATTGTATTTATTAAGTTATAAATTTGATTATTTCACATTCATGATTTAGATTTAAAAGGTTTTGTTATTATAATCTTATGGATTAAAATGCGGATTAATTAAACGCACGAGACATCCGATGTTAGTTTTATTACCTAACTTATACCTTAATACCTATTTTCCCATTCGGTTTCAAAAACAGTAAAAGTATAAGGTCTGGAAGAAAAAGTTTCCGTTCCATTGACAGTTTATAAGTGAGGATTAGCGAAGTTCTGATAGAAGTCAGTGAATTCCATCAAAGGAAATAGATGTCTTAATAATCCAGGAAATACAGTAACAGGAAAGGAAGTGACATCATTCCCAAGCCAGTTTGCCATTGGTTGGCTCTTTTTTCCTTCTTCTAGAAGAAGAAATATCGACCTGATGCATTCAACCTCGTAAACTCTTAAAGAATACTTTTATTTTTGTTACATAAATTTATTTGGCAGGAAACTCTGTCGAGATGACTTAATTAGAATATTTAAGAGTCATATTTAAAGCGTATTAATATTCTAAAAGTGAGAAATTCGCCAGAGCGTAAAGTTAGATGTGAAACCAAAACGAACCGACAACAAGAGAGGAGAAACGTCTACAATGTGCATCCTTGTGTACTTGAAACGTGCAGACAAACACACAAACACAAAGATAGCAGAATAGGTAGCATTCCATTCAGTGGAGCGAGAAAAGGGCTTTTCCCACTAGAAGTGTGACAGAGACTAAAGTGACACTAGATTCTTTGTCAGTAAATATGTCTGTGGTTAAGTCAACGGAAAAAGAAGGATGCTTCTCCCTCCTCATGCTGATTGGTTTATTTGAGTAGTCTTTCTTAATTACCTTCGTCTAAATAATTCGATTAACTCTAAATATACCGGTGAAAAATCATTTTAAATAATTGCTTAAAATTTGCCACGAGATAATTTTATTTGCGTATTTTAATATTAAAATTTTCCAAAATAAATCAGCCAAAGAATCAATGTTTTATCATTTTTCTTCTATTATTTATACGATTATATATAAACTTTATTCTTAAGTCACGAAAGAAAATTCGATCAGAAAATATCATAAAATAAATTTAACATACAAAAAATGATAATAAGTTTCCATAAATATTTATAACTTGTACTAAAAATCCCATAAAAAAATATTTATTGAAGCTACTTAAAAATGAGGAGGGAATGTAAGAATTCGTTAAAAAAAATTCTCATCGCCTCGGATAAATAAATGAAAAAAAAATTAATTCTTCAGATTCGCTCAGATAGAGAGATAAGTAGTAATAACTTTCATTTATTACATACCTTCTGAATGTTTGCTATCTTTTGTCGCTGGAAAAGAAAACTCTGATAATACAAACAAGCAATATTGGTTTTCTAATTTCAA